CGGGTCTGGTTTCACCTCCCAAACACCCCACGCGTCACGTTTTTGCTCTCCCAGCCCTTAGGAGCACTCTGCAGGCCTCCCAAACCCTCTGCATGCCCCATTTTGGGGGGAAAAAAACAAGCCTATTTTTTGCAAAAACAGGATATGCGGCGTGGGGTTTCTGGAGACCAAAAATGGCTGTATTCAGCAGGGGGGCAGGGGGGAGTCATCTTATACTCCGAAAAGTACAGCATACTATCTTCCATTAGAGTATCGATTATATAACCATCATAATATTTATTCATCAGTTTTTCTGGCTCAGTGGTTAAGACGCTGAGCTTGTTGAGCCGAAGGTTGGCAGTTCAGCTGCTCAAATCCCAAGCGCTGCGTAACGGAGTGAGCTCCAGTTCCTTGCCCCAGCTTCTGCCAACCTAGCAGTTCAAAAGCACGTAAAAAATGCAAGTAGAAAAAAAGGGACCCCTTTGGTGGGAAGGTAATAGCGCTCTGTGCGCCTTCACCGTTTAGTCATGCTGGCCACATGACCACAGAGACGTCTTCGGACAGCGCTGGCTTTTTGGCTTAGAAACAGATGAGCACTGCCCCCTAAAGTCGGGAACGACTAGCACATATTTGTGGGGTAACCTTTACCTTTACCTAGAATCTCCCAAAGTATCTCCATTAAGTAAGAGTAGTAAAGGTTTAGTCTGGCAAGATTCTGTCTTTTGGATGTAAACAAATAATGACCTGAACTTTGGCTGGATTGTTCTAAGTCATTCTTGGGCTGGGCTTGATATAAATTCTTTTTTTAAATGATTATTTTCATAGATGTGGCAGAAGTGAAGGCATTTAGACAAAGTGGTTTTATGATTTTGGTGGCACCGTCTCAGAGAAATGTTTGGGTGGGAGGCAAGTATATATGATCGTAAGATTTCTTTCCCCATGAAATGCACATACAGGGAATGGAAAACTGTAAAAGGAAGAGATATCCTGTTTCTATTCAGCCTTGAAGCTCTCAAGGTGGGAAAGCATAACCTTAGTTAAAATTACGAGTGTCGAAAGGGTGGAAGTAGGGAGCATAACTGCTAGGCACATGTTAGTTTCGAATTCTTCCCAAAAATGGACTGTACTGCTACATATTCTGTGATGCAAACTAACATTGGAAACGATTGAAGATGACATTCACACAATTGTTGGTATCCAAGGTCAGGGAATATAGGGAGACACAACAGGCAGAGAGCCCCTTTTAATTAAGAAGATAAACTAGCCAGAATTTCAACCCTCTTGTAACAACAGTGAATTACTTACCGATGCCATCGATCTCTGGGTGCCGTGAGTATTGTTTTCTCTTTGGAGCCCAACCTAATGATGCAGAAAAAGGAGATTTGAGGCCCCAGGGCACATTGCTCACAGTGCCCCTCAATTGCTTCACAATTTGTGAGATTGTATTTCACAGTCTCTAAATCAAGGATGTCCTTGTGTCTTGCAGGTAGAAGACGCCATGCTTATGTTTGACAAGACCACCAACAGACACAGAGGTAAGGAGGGGAATGAACCCCCAACATCTTTTTTTAATGTTTGGATTTTCCTTGGCTCATTGAAAAAGCAAGTTTGTTTATTGTGGAAAGTGGATGTTTGGGTGTGTCAAAAGATGAAGCAACTACTTTTATCTGCAATGTCTTATGTTCTCTAGTAGTACTTTGTGAATACTTTGTGAATTGTGTATGTTTCTTTCTCACTGGCAAATATCATTTGGTGTCTATTATTCCACAAGTCTTTTGCAATCTTCCATTTGAGCCGTACAGTGCTTGGATTCAGCCGGTTCGCACCTATTCGGGAGAACCTGTTGTTAACTTTCCAAGCAGTTCAGAGAACCGGTTGTTGGAAGAAATCTCCTTTTGTTTTCTTCCACATTACAAGGCTAATCCTGTAAGGAGTACAGGAAGGAAACATTCTGGTGTTGTTTCTATCCTAATCTTGATTGCCCTGCTTACAGAAACCGCCTCTCCGGTTAACCCTTGTTACATTGTAACAGCTAAGGTGAAGCTCCCATCAACGTGAGTCACGTTGAATTGGCCACGCCTACCAAGTCACATGACCACCGAGCCCCGCCCACCCAGCTGATCATTAGGGCAGAGAGCTGGTTGTTAAATGATTTGAATCCCACCACTGTAGCCGTACAAACTTTATTCCTACTTCAGATCTTGAGTCTTTACTTTTGTGTGATCAGAAATGTGCATTTCAAGAGTGTCTTCTTTAAAACAACCCACTGTGGGAAAATCTGCCGCCATAGTTACCCGTAAAGTTGCATTTCCTTTTAGTTTCTTACATATTTGATTATTTGGAAGGAGGAGACAGTTATGTAAATGACTGGTTCTACATCTTTCTCCATTTTTTTTTGTGAAAAGGACGTTTCCAGGTTTACAGATAATTCTGTTGTGGTTTAATTTTGGAATCCTACACAAAGCAAGGGGCCTGGAATTGATCACCTAAATCGACTTTTCCAACCTAGCGAGCCTAGTGTGCTTTCAGGATATATATTTTTTTAAATGCAGCCGTATTGTTTAGAAGAAATTTAACTGCTGTGATTTTAAAACATAAGCAGAAATAATAATTCCATCGATGGAATTAAAGCCAAGAAGGAGAACCAGATAAAGAGCTGACTTAAGTATAAAAGGGCTTGGTGAGGCTTTCTGCTTTGGGATGGATGAATGGCTGGATGGATATATAGATAGATATTGGAGAGAGATAGAAAGAGATGATAAATGTCACTCGACTTTGTTTTATGTGATGCCTCTGCATGATGGGTTTAATCCCTGCACCTGAGCTCATCACTGGGATACAGTCTTCTGACAGAATGACCAAATCTGTTGTTTCGGACCTTTGGGGTTGATCTGAGATAAAGGGAAATAATTGGGGTGAGAGTGCTTTAAGGACAGACTAATGGGGGCAAGATGAAGATGGCCAGATTTTCAGGTTGGAAGAGATTTCAAGTAGGTGCGTTCCTCAAGTTCCTTGGTCATCTCTGTTGTGGCCTGCAGAGCTAGAAGCCGATTCGGACCGTGAGGAGGTTGGGGAGGAACATGGGCCAGTCCTGGAGTCTGGGGAAGGCTCTGATGAGGGCTCTGTGTCGTAAGCAGAGACGGAGCCCAAGCCAAATGCCAGTTATCAGCTGCCTTCAGAGTCGGAGATCAGTGGAGCAGAAGAACAGCTGGAGCCTGTTCCCAGTGTGCGCATGCACAGAGTTGCCAGACGAAGGGAACAGCTAAAGCCGAGGTGGCACAGTGGTTAAATGCAGCACTGCAGGCTACTTCAGCTGACTGCAGTTCGGCTGTTCTAATCTCACCGGCTCAGGGTTGACTCAGCCTTTCATCCTTCAGAGGTGGGTAAAATGAGGACCCGGATTGTTGTTGGGGGCAATATGCTGACTCTGTAAACCGCTTAGAGAGGGCTGAAAGCCCTATGAAGCGGTATATAAGTCTAACTGCTATTCCTATTGCTGTAAAGAACAGGGGTCGACTTGGGAGTAAGGCCATAGGTGGGCCATGAATGGCCCCTCCCAGAGGAAATAAAAGAGGAGCAAAAGGGGAGGGGAGTTTGCAGGAGACAATTAGTTCGCTTCATTGGTTCCTGACTCTCTGGAGACTCCTTGCCAAGTTTTGCAGATATCGGCCTGGCAGCTCTCCCAGCCAGATAAAGTCTGTGACTGTAAATCCTCCCTTGAAAGATTTTGCTGGATGCGAATGAGCAGAATTCACAGCAAATTAATAAAAGGGGTTTTTGTCTGGACGGGGAGTTTGCTTCATGCTCTTGGCAAGCCTAGGTCAGAACAGTCTCTGAGCTTGCTTATTTGCAGACATTTCATTACCCAACTAGGTAATATCATCAGTGCTGACACCTGCAAGAAACAGTAGCAAGAAAACAACCCACCAAGGTCCCCTCATTTTCAACCTTGAGCTACATATATTCCCTTCTAGCTGGGGTGCTGTCTGATCCTGGATCATGTTGCTATTGGACCATCATTTTTCAAAGGATAACTTGGGAAACTTGGTGTGTTTTTTGTCTTTCAATCTGAGCACTGAACCCGGACAAACCTTTGTGGGAGGCTAACAAAGCATGAAGGATATTGGTTCTAGAACGGAAACCATCGTATATTTTTTTTTATTTCAGCAAGTCGTGGGTCTATCGCCATCGCCTTTCCAAACCTCTGCCCTCGGTTCACTTCTCCAATTCCTTTGCTTTCTCTGTTTTCTCTTCTGGGATCTTTCTAATGAAAACCGTCGGAAAAGGGCACCTTCTGCCTACGATTATAAACTGGCTCCATTTGCCAATTGATTCCCTTGGAAAGAAGTGTGTGCTTTCCATGGGGATAAGAGAGATCTTTTTTTTTGGGGGGGGGTATGGTTGACCCTGGGGAAACCGTGTCACCCCCCCAATGCTGCGGTTGCCTACGCAATGCGCTTCGAACATCGTGAGCGTTGGGCATTCCTGCTCCCACCTATAGATGTGCCTGCGAAATTCCTTAGGTTTCAAGTCTGGCACTTTTCTTTTTTCTAAACCCCCCCCCCCCATTTTTTTATTTTTTATTTTTGAATCTGGAAGTCTGACAGCTCGCAAGGACCTAATGAGGAGCTGTTCAACGGGGAAGCCTCCAATGGCTCCTGTGTGGCCTTTGTGTCATTCCCTACAGGCAGTGCAAAGGTGACAAGTTTTAGAATGGAAATAGCGGAGGGCCCTTTTGGTGTCAAATTCTAGGGCTTGATTTTTTCTTGTTAAGGGAATAAGGGGGTGTTTTCGTCTTCCCCTCCCTGCAAAAGGTTTAATTAATGCCCCTGGGGCATACTACAGTAACTTCTCCTTTCTCACCTGCAGTGTGGCTGGGGGTGTGAACAGAGCCATTTCCCACCTCTTCCCTTCTTTCTTTCTCTCTCTCCCCCCCCCTTCTCCTCACTCATGGCCGAGCTTCAGATTTTTACCCCGTGGTGAAGATGCTTAAGGATGCTGTCTGCGAAACAAAGCTGTGGCTTGGAATTGGATCCAGCAGGCAGCAGCTGCTCCGTTGAGCATCCCTGTAAAAGGGAAGTGCAGAGGAAGGCTCGCTCCAAGTGGGGTCCTCCCCGTTGCTTTGATTTGACTTAGTCAGGTGAAAAACAGGGTGGGAGAAGAGTTTCAGGCACTATAGCGATAGCGCTCAGACTTACATACCGCTTCACAGTGCTTTACAGCCCTCTCTAAGGGGTTTATAGCAGTTAGCAGTTAGACTTATATACCGCTTCATAGGGCTTTCAGCCCTCTCTAAGCGGTTTACAGAGTCAGCAGTTAGACTTATATACCGCTTCATAGGGCTTTCAGCCCTCTCTAAGCGGTTTACAGAGTCAGCAGTTAGACTTATA